TTATGTATTGGTGGAGGGGTTGGTACTTTGTTTAATAAATTTTTGAAAAAGGGGAAGGTCCCGGGGGGGGGTGGGATAGGAGATGTAAAAGTCCCTTTATAAAAGGGAAAGGGGGAAAAGTGAGTGAAAAAAATTATAGGGGGAATAAGCTTACGATTTTATACCAGGAAAAGGTACGGTAGGGTTAAAAATTGAAAAAATTTAGAGGAAAGCAAAATTTTAGGATTGCGGATGAGAAGGGGGTTTTTGGGGGGGGGAAAGGGGGGTTGGGGATGTGTAATGGGTTTTTTCTTTTAAAGGCATATATGTGAACAGTATTTAAGATAAAAGATAGGGAAGTTTTTTTTGCTTTTTGGGGATTTAGAAAAGGCTTATGATAGAGGGGTAGGGGAAAGCAATGTGGCGATGTTGCAAGTTTTGGGAAATTAGGTGGTAAGTTTTTTAAATGCTTTTTAAAGGTTTTTATGGGGAAATAGTGGGCTCAGGTTAGGGTGTGTAGAAGAGAGGGAGACTATTTTCCCCGGAAAAAAGTAGGTCTTAGACGGGATGTGTAATGTCCCCATGGTTTTTTTAATATATTTATGGGAGGGGGTTTGTAAAGGAAGAAAATGCTGGGGTGTTTGGGGAGGGGGGGGAAAAAATTAGGGGGAAACTAAAAATTAAAAAAAGGGGGAATTGACACTTTACTTTTTGCTGAGGTTTATTTGGTTTAGGGGGGGATTCAAAAGAAAAATTGAAAAGGGTTAGGGGAGGGTTTTGGGGAATGTGTGAAAAGGGTAGAAAGTTGAAAGTTGAACTTAAAAAAGAGAAAGGTAAAGGGGTTTGGTTCAAATGATTTAAAAAAAAGAAAAATTGGATTAAAAAATTGGGGGGGGGGATTTGGGAAAGAAGTGAATGTTTTCAGATACTTGGGAGTTGACGTGTGGGCGGTTTGGGTTATGAAGGTTGGGTTTAAAATCTTTAAATTGATGGGGGAAAAAAAAGGTGGTGGTGCTTGGGGTTTATATGTGGAGTAAAAAAACGTTTTTTTGGAAAGGCAAAAAAGGGAAAATGTATGAAAGTATAGTATTTTCCCAACACCCTTGGGGGGGGTTTTGAAGCTTGGGTGGTAAAAAGCAGCAGCGAGGAGAAAGGGTTTGGGGGCAGTGGGAGGGCCTGTTTAAAGGGGAATTTGTGGTTTTAAATATTATGCAGAAAATTCGGAGTGTGGAAATTGGAGAGGTGTGGAGGGTTTAAAAAAAGTATTAGTCAGAGGGGCAGAAAAGGGGTTTTGAGGTGGTTTTGGGGGTTTTTTAAAAATTTTTGAGGGGAATGGATCAAGTTGAAAGACTGGAAAGCTTTTAAATCTATGGGGGAAGGGAAGGCGGGGGAGGGGTCGTCCTCGGAAAGGGTTGGGAGGAAGGGGGGAAAGGGGGTTTTGTGGGTAAAAGGGGTTGGGGCTTCGCAAGGCAGTGCGGGGAGCGTGTTAGTAAGGAGTGAAAGGAGCGAACGGTTTCTTTTGGGAAACCCGCGATCTGTTGGAGTGAGAGCAGGGTAATATTTAGTGAAGGGATTCGGGAAACCCGGGTTTTTAAATTTTTATTTAGTCGGACTTGGTCCGGAAAAGGGGGAAAATTTCAAAAGCCCTGCACTTTTTAAAAGGGGGGGGGTTTTTGGGGTATTGGCAGTTTGGAGGGTTTTGTTTTGTATCTTTTTTATGGTATGCTTCTAGACTGTTGTATTCTGAGCACCTCTGCAAAAACAGTGATAATGTGCGAGTGGGTGAAAAGGTTTTTGAATGATGAAATATTTTTTTTTGGGGGTTTTCTTTTTTTTTGGGTCACCCTGCCTGGGTGGGAGACGGCCGACTTTTTTGAAAAAAAAAAAAAATTAATATTATATATAATATATTATTTATTTTATTATCCCCGGGCCGATTCCCCCCAAGGCAGGGGGGCCCCGAAAAAAAAAAATTTTCACCATCTTCACTCCCACTGTCTTGCCAAAAGGGCTTTACACTCAGTTTTTTACTCCCAACATTAACACCCCCCCTTTCCCAAAGTGCGGATTATATTCCCCATCCCCCGGATCAAGCCCGGCCTCCCGGTTTCCTAAACCCCTTTCAAAAAATGTTACTTTGCTCAACTCCAACAGACTCAAGTATTAAAAACCTTTTGTCCCATTCACTCCTATCAAAACACGCTCACGTATGCCTGCTGGAAGTCCGCCCCTGCCCCAAAAACCCTCCTTTACCCATCCCCAAATTTTCCCTAGGCGCCCCTCCCCCGCTTCCTTCCACTCAGATGATACCTTTAAAATCTTTCCGTTTGCTCCATTCTCCTACATGCCCGAACCACCTAACAACCTTCCTCACCCCTTGGACAACAGTTTTGGTAATCCCTCACCCCTCCTACTTAAAACTAGAATTTCTGATTATTTCACCCCACACATTGCCCTCGACATGACATCCCACTCCCTCAGCCTTTCCTCGCGAAAATTTATCCCCAGCTTCACCCCATTAAGAGCATTGTAAAATATACTCTCAACATTCCCCTCTTTGCCTCCAAGGACAAAGTTTCTGTTCCACGATCCTAAGTGCACCATCACCCTTTTCCCCCCATCAATTCTAGATTTACCTCATCTTTCATAGACCCCTCCGTGACACGTCCACTCCCAAAATTGAAAACAATTCACCCTTTCCTCCTTTCCCTTTTTCTCTCTTCTCTCTCTCTCTCTTTTTCTCTCTCTTCTCTTTTCCTTTTCTCTCTCTTTTCTCTCTTTTCTTTTCTTTTCTTCTCTCTCTCTCTTTTCCTTCTCTCTTTCTCTCTCTTTTCCTTCTCTTCTCTTCTTCTCTCTCTCTCTCTTTCTCTCTCTCTCTCTTTCTTCTTTTTCTCTCTCTCTCTCTTTCTCTCTCTTCTTTCTCTCTCTTTTCTTTCTCTTTTCTCTCTCTCTCTCTCTCTTTCTCTCTTTTCTTTTCTTTTCTTTTCTCTTTCTCTTCCCCTCTCTTCTCTCTCTCTCTCTCTCTCTCCCTTTTCTTCTCTTCTCTTTCTCTTTCTCTTTCCTTTTCTTTTTTTCTCTCTCCCTCTCTTTTCTCTCTCTTTCTCTCTCTCCTTTTTCTCTTTCTCTTCTTCTCCTCCTTTCTCTCCTTCCTCTCTTTCTTTTTCTCTCTCCTCTCCTCTCTTTTTTCCCCTTTCTCTCTCTTTCTCTTTCCCCTTTTCTTTCTCTTTCTTTTCCTTTCTCTCTCTCTCTTTTTTCTCTCCTCTCTCTCTCTCTCTCTTTTCTCTTCTTTTTTTTATTTTTTTCTTTCCCCCTCCTCCTCCTTTTTTCCCTTTTTTTTTTTTTTTTCTTTTTTCTTTCCCTTTTCCCTTCCTTTTTCCTTTCTTCTCTTCCCCTCTCTTTTTTTTTCTTCCCTCCTTTTTTTTTTTTTTTCTTTTTTTTTTTTTTTTTTTTTTCCCCCTCTCCCCATCTCTAAAACTCCCCGTTCTTTTCCTCCCTTTTCCCCCTTTTTCTCCTCTTTTTTTTCCCTTTTTTTTCCCCTTTTCCCTTCCTTTGGGGGGCCCTTTTTTTCTTTCCCTTTTCCCTCTTTCATCCCTCCTTCTTTTTTTTTTTTTTTTCCTTTTTTTTTCTTTCTCTTTTTATTTTAGGGTTCAGGGGGGTGGGAAGAAGTCCTTTTCTTTGTTTTAAAAGGGGGATGTTTTTAGTTGTGGATAAATTGTACCCGTGCTTTTGGGGGGAGGATTTTTTCATTTGGAGGTGGGAATCAGTGCTGTGCCCTGTGGATATAGGTGTTCGTTGTGGGGTGGGAATAAGTCTGTGTTGTTGGAGAGTGAAATTTGCAGTTTGGAGGGGGGGGGGACCGGCCATCTCTTGGTTATTGGGGGTTTCGTTTTAAAGCAGTCTGTACCCCGGGGGTGGGGGTTACAATCACAAACTTTATTTTTTTTTAAAATTTCAGGAGCTTAAGAACAATGGGCCAGTGTGTTTTTATTTTTTTTTTTTTTGTTTGGGGATTTTAAATGGAAATAAAATTTTTTAGGGAAAAATTTTAAGAAGAAGATTTGGAGGGAGAAAAAAAGCGTCGGTTCTTTTTAAAAGTGGGAACAAATTCGGTCAGTACTGGCACCTGAACGTACTTTTGGAGTGATAAAATGTCGTTAACCGGGGGTCCACTGTATATATAGATATATATATATATATGGCCGGTGTGTTGAAAGAAAAAAGAAAGATATATATATATATATAGAGAGAGAGAGAGCAAGCAAGCACCGTACTCAACCAGCAGGTAGGCAAGTCTGGCAAATGCTGACCGCAAGTGAATCATATTGCCTCAGCCTTTGGCGGGCCCGCCTGTGATTGGTCAATGAACCGAGGTGCTGATTTGAAAATGGGTACCCTAATAATCGTTAAACCCTTAACACCCAGTTCGCTGGTTGGGAGGCAGACTATATGGGAGTGTGACATACACAGGATAAATTGTCACACTCTTTGCATGCCACAGTACCTGTGCTCTGTTTTATGAGTGAGGATGTTGCAGTTGTGGAGGTGGGAAGTATAGTGCTTGTGCTTTGTTGGATGAGTGAGGATGTTGCAGTTGTGGAGGTGGGAAGTATAGTACCTGTGCTTTGTTGGATGAGTGAGGATGTTGCAGTTGTGGAGGTGGGAAGTACAGTGCCTGTGCTCTGTTGGATGAGTGAGGATGTTGCAGTTGTGGAGGTGGGAAGTACAGTGCCTGTGCTCTGTTGGATGAGTGAGGATGTTGCAGTTGTGGAGGTGGGAAGTACAGTGCCTATGCTCTGTTGGATGAGTGAGGATGTTGCAGTTGTGGAGGTGGGAAGTACAATGTCTGTACTCTGAAGGATTGGTGAGGATGTTACAGATCACAGAACATTTGATTTATGTTGTCTGCACACTTCTGGCAAGAGAGCTATCGAATGAACAATGGCCAGTGTGTTTCCTTATTTTTTTTTTTTTTTTTGTCTGCCTGGGATGCAGGTGGCACAATAATAATGTTTGTTATGCAGGTAAAGAAGATAAGAAGAAGAATAAAGGAGGGATGAAGAAGATAGACGTCGAAGAATTCTTTGTAAAGTATCGGTCGTTCTCATACCTGCACTGTGAGTGGAGGACTGAAGATGAACTCTTTAAGGGAGACAAGAGAATCAACGGCAAGATCAAGCGTTACAAAGTTAAGAGAGCGACCAGCCATAACCTCATGGACTTCGTAAGTTGTTGATGGTCACTTGTTGTACCAGTCACTTGTTGATCACTTAAGTGTTTCTTGCCACTTGCAGCTTCACTGTCCTGGTTGCCATGGTTACTATACACCTGGTTACCATGGTTACTATACACCTGGTTTCCATGGTTACTGTACACCTGGTTGCCATAGTTACTATACACCTTGTTGCCATGGTTACTGTACACCTGGTTGCCATGGTTACTATACACACACACAAGATATATCAGTAATTGATTGACTAACACAGCTTAGTACTGTATGAGATGCGTATGCAGCAGACGTACGCACCAGATGTGCACATGAGACCTACGCACCAGATGTGCACGTGAGACCTACGCACCAGATGTGCACATGAGATCTACGCACCAAACGTGTACACGAGACCTACGCATCAGATGTATGCACCAGACATGCTCATCAGATGTGCGCATCAGATGTATAACAACACTGAGATGGGAGAGGTTGTCTGACACTGACACTGCTGTCTGTGAGGTGGAGGGGTAACTCCCACAGTGCAGTGCCATGACACTATATTCCTCACAAGGTTGTCATAGATGAACTTGACAAGGTTGTCATAAGTGAACTTGACAAAGTTGTCGTAAGTGAACTTGACAGGGCTATCATAAGTGAACTTGACAGGGTTATAAGTGAACTTGACAGGGTTGTCATGAGTGAACTTGACAAGGTTGTCATGAGTGAACTTGACAAGGTTGTCATGAGTGAACTTGACAAGGTTGTCGTAAGTGAACTTGACAAGGTTGTCGTAAGTGAACTTGACAGGGTTGTCATATGTAAACTTGACTGAGTCATAAATGTTTTAATGTTGGAAGAGTCATGCAGTGAGAACTTCATCCAAGATTACATCTTAATCAATGGTCTGTTATAAACCCACACTTGTGTAGTAGATAGGCTTTAAACTTACTTAAACCAATAAAGCAGATAGTTTTTTTTACTTATAAAACTTGTAAAACCCTGTTGATTATTTTTATCATTGCTGTTTTGTTTTAGTTGGAGGAAGAATTATTTAACCCGGACTATACCGAGGTGGACCGCATTCTAGACATGACGGAAACCACCGACCCCACCAGTGGAAAGTTGATCAAACACTACTTGGTCAAGTGGAAGGCACTCTCCTATGAGGACTCTACCTGGGAGATGGAGGATGATGTTGATACTCTCAAGGTATGTACTCTACTGTGTGGTTGTTGTGGTACATGTACTCTACCTGGGAGATGGAGGATGTTGTTGATACTCTCAAGGTATGTACTCTACTGTGTGGTTGTTGTGGTACATGTACTCTACCTGGGAGATGGAGGACAATGTTGATACTCAAGGTATGTACTCTACTGTGTAGTTGTTGTGATACATGTACCCTACCTAGGAGAGGGAGGACAATTGTGATTCTCAATGTATGTACTCTACTTTGTGGGGTTGCAGGAGTTAAGTCCTAACTCCTGGTCCTACTTCTCAGCTTGCCACAGTCACTCCTAGCCTTGTGGGCCATGTCGTACCTGCTCTCAATACTTTGACATCCCTCAGGCTGAAGAAATACTTCCTGACATCCCTGAGAGTTTCTTGTTTTGTGCACAGATTGAGGCGTACCTGGCATACAAAGACCCACCACACAAGTCAGAGTGGAAGCCCAAGAAGCGCCCTAAACCCAGTGAGTGGAAAAAGCTGGAGGTGACACCCGAGTACAAGAACAACAATACTCTGAGAGAGTACCAATTGGAGGGCCTCAACTGGCTCAGCTTCTCTTATTATAACTCGTAAGTCTCATTAACCACTTGTCTCAGTACTACCACTTGTCTGTCCTAGACTAGTTGTGTTTGCAGGGGTCAAGTCAAGACCTCTGGCACTTCTTGAATCTTATCCAACTACTGTAAAATTTTCTGGCCTCTGGGATCCTGTGTGTGTACCTTTGTGTTGTAAGTTTGACACCTTGTATATTGAATATGTTGAGTTGGAGGGATGGGGTGAAGGAGGTTTTAAGTTCTAGACTCTTAGACATCCAGCAGGCTGGTGTGAGTGTCGTAGAAAAGGAGACAATTGGTGGTGTTGGAGTGTTTGCAAGAAAACTTGAAGGGATTTAGGGAATCCAGTTAGCCAGACTTGAGTCCTGGAGGTGGGAAGTTGAGTGCCTCCACTCTGAAGAAGTGAGGATGTTGTAGTTCTGGCAAGACAGACAATAGTTGAATGTATAATGGCAAATATTTAAACTGTTATGGGTCACACTACCTCATTGTGTTACAACTAACATTCCTGTGTGTGTTTACATATATTAATGTAGTTGTGTTGCCTCAGGCGCAACTGTATCCTGGCGGACGAGATGGGACTCGGGAAGACTATCCAGTCACTGACTTTTGTGGATGCTTGTTATAAATATGGCATCCGTGGACCCTACCTGATCATCGCACCACTCTCCACCATCCCTAACTGGCAGCGAGAATTTGAGAGCTGGACAGACCTTAATATTATAGTTTACCATGGATCGTAAGTTATGTATAGGGTAACTATACTAGTTTACAACAAGATAGTTTATCATGGATCATAAGTTGTGTGGGGTAACTGCACTAGTTTATAACAAGAGTTTATAATACAGTGTAGTTGCAAATTTGAGAGGTGTGAAGCAGTGTAGTTGTAGACTTGAGAGAGATTGGTCCCAGCTAATCACAGTTGCTCCTCAGTAGCAAAAATGAGTTTTAGGACTCTTACAAAAATTCCTGAAAACTTTGAAAGTTGTGACAGAAATCATAGAAGTACAATGCTAAGTGCTTAGTCTATAACAAAAGTGCATAGAACTCCCTTCATTATTTCCCAAACTTAATGCTAATAACACACTGTTTAAGTTTGCAATGATGTTGTACAGGCAAGGGAGTCGCAACATGATCTTGGAGTATGAGATGTACTACAAGGATGACAAGGGTAACCGCATTCCTAATGTGTACAAGTTCAACGTACTCATCACTACCTTCGAGGTGATCATCTCTGACTGCCTGGAACTCAAGGAGATCCACTGGAGATGTTGCATCATTGATGAGGCTCACAGGCTCAAGAACAGGGTCAGTGCTCAACAAGTTTAAGACTAGTTTTAAACAGGGTTTTGACTTTCTTTTTTAACATTGATAAACATTTATTTGAAGACAAACACTGGCTGTAAAACCTCTTATTATGACTTAATTTTGATATAAATAACAGACATCAAATGAATGATGGTGATTGTGTTGGGTGATCTCAGTGGGAGGTGATCAATATGTTAATTCTACTATCTAACATTAAAATGTCCTTCAATGATATTTTTAATTGTTTGTTACTTGTCAGAACTGCAAGTTGCTGGAAGGTTTGAGATTGATGTTCCTGGAGCACAGAGTGTTGCTTTCCGGCACTCCCCTGCAAAACAACGTCACCGAGCTCTTCTCTTTGCTCAACTTCCTGGAACCAACACAGTTCTCCTCGCAGGAATCCTTCCTGCAAGAGTTTGGCAACTTGCAGACAGAAGATCAAGTGAACAAGTTGCAGGCGTTGCTCAAGCCAATGATGCTTCGCAGGATGAAGGAGGACGTGGAGAAGTCTCTGGCACCCAAGGAGGAGACCATTATTGAGGTAAATATTGATAACATAATTTTTAATACAATATCTGTGATATTTATCATCCTTAACCCTTTGAGGGTCTGTCCCATAGTTGTACGGCTATGAAGCCCGAGTCCAAGCCGTAGTACTTTGCCATGAGCTCAGTTCAGCTGTGAATGGTAAATTTGGAGCTAGATATGAGAAAATGCATCTATGTGGTAAGTGTGCACCATATAAAACAAATCCTGCAGCACGCAGTGCATAACGAGAAAAAATTGCAACCGTGTTTTTGGATTAAAACGGCAACTTTGCAGTGTATATTCATATGTTTTTACAGTTGTATATATTCATGATATCTTACCTGGAGTTTACCTGGAGAGAGTTCCGGGGGTCAACGCCCCCGCGGCCCGGTCTGAGACCAGGCCTCCTCCTCTTGGTCTCATTTGATAGAACAGAAGAGATGTTACAGAACTAGATGATTTTGATTGGTTTTAGGACTGAAAATAGCTTGAAACTGAGCTCAAAGTAGCGGAAATGTTCGATTTTTGCCAGTGTTCAAGAGTAAACAAATGACATCACGCGTCCAATACACATTAGCTGGTGAGTCTGATGTTCGTTCACGAATGTGGTGATATTATTTATACAATTATTACAGTATTGCATAGCAGTAAATCTTCTCATTTTTGGTATGAATAAAAATTCATTATGTGAATAAAAAATCTAAATGGAATTCATGTGTAAAGCCTGAAAACACAACTAATAAACAGAGGAAATGTTATTTTAGTACCAGGAATGTCTGCATTGTCTATTCTGGACCCTATTTTGAAATTGGAATATTTTGAACTTTGTGTGAAATTGGCAAAATTGCCAATTTATGATCACTTTATTGGGTAGTTGAAATAGTTGATTGGGCAGTTTCTTGTGCTCAGTCGATAAAATAGAAGTAATACTAGCGAAGTAGCTAAGAATTTGGTCAACTGGAATAATGTAATTGGCCTAAAATGGGAGTCAAAGTGGGCAAAATTGCCGATGCGTAAATGTCGCTGACATAGCAAAATTTGTGGGAGCATAATTTCCTCAGTTTTCCATCAAATTTTGTACTTTTTGTTTTATTACTTTCAGAAAAAAAGATTCTCTACCATTCCATAAGAAAAAATAGCAAACAATTTTTTGAAAATTCTTGGACCCTGTGGACAAATTTCAGATTGAGAGTCTGGATCCTGGAAGGTTAAATGATGATTTATGAGTCAAACATTATGGTGACATGCTCAGTGTGGAGGGAAATGTTGTGGCGACACACTCAGTGTGGAGGTGTGGTGACACAGTGTGGAGGTGTGGTGACACAGTGTGGAGGTGTGGTGACACAGTGTGGAGGTGTGGTGACACAGTGTGGAGGTGTGGTGACACAGTGTGGAGGTGTGGTGACACAGTGTGGAGGTGTGGTGACACAGTGTGGAGGTGTGGTGACAGTGTGGAGATGTGGTGACACACTCAGTGTGTAGGGAAATATTTTTCCTGATAAACACTGTGAGTGACTTTAAAACTATAAATTAATTAAATGGGTTAATATGCATGATAAAGAATCACACACAAAGTGGGAGTTGTCACAGCTGCTCTTTGCTGATGACACTGTGCTCTTGGGAGATTCTGAAGAGAAGTTGCAGAGATTGGTGGATGAATTTGGTAGGGTGTGCAAAAGAAGAAAATTAAAGGTGAATACAGGAAAGAGTAAGGTTATGAGGATAACAAAAAGATTAGGTGATGAAAGATTGAATATCAGATTGGAGGGAGAGAGTATGGAGGAGGTTAATTTTTTTTTTTTATTATCACACTGGCCGATTCCCACCAAGGCAGGGTGGCCCGAAAAAGAAAAACTTTCACCATCATTCACTCCATCACTGTCTTGCCAGAAGGGTGCTTTACACTACAGTTTTTAAACTGCAACATTAACACCCCTCCTTCAGAGTGCAGGCACTGTACTTCCCATCTCCAGGACTCAAGTCCGGCCTGCCGGTTTTGAGGTTAATGTATTCAGATATTTGGGAGTGGACGTGTCAGCGGATGGGTCTATGAAAGATGAGGTGAATCATAGAATTGATGAGGGGAAAAGAGTGAGTGGTGCACTTAGGAGTCTGTGGAGACAAAGAACTTTGTCCTTGGAGGCAAAGAGGGGAATGTATGAGAGTATAGTTTTACCAACACTCTTATATGGGTGTGAAGCATGGGTGATGAATGTTGCAGCGAGGAGAAGGCTGGAGGCAGTGGAAATGTCATGTCTGAGGGCAATGTGTGGTGTGAATATAATGCAGAGAATTCGTAGTTTGGAAGTTAGGAGGAGGTGCGGGATTACCAAAACGGTTGTCCAGAGGGTTGAGGAAGGGTTGTTGAGGTGGTTCGGACATGTAGAGAGAATGGAGCGAAACAGAATGACTTCAAGAGTGTATCAGTCTGTAGTGGAAGGAAGGCGGGGTAGGGGTCGGCCTAGGAAAGGTTGGAGAGAGGGGGTAAAGGAGGTTTTGTGTGCGAAGGGCTTGGACTTCCAGCAGGCATGCGTGAGCGTGTTTGATAGGAGTGAATGGAGACAAATGGTTTTTAATACTTGACGTGCTGTTGGAGTGTGAGCAAAGTAACATTTATGAAGGGGTTCAGGGAAACCGGCAGGCCGGACTTGAGTCCTGAAGATGGGAAGTACAATGCCTGCACTCTGAAGGAGGGGTGTTAATATTGCAGTTTAAAAACTGTAGTGTAAAGCACCCTTCTGGCAAGACAGTGATGGAGTGAATGATGGTGAAAGTTTTTCTTTTTCGGGCCACCCTGCCTTGGTGGGAATCGGCCAGTGTGATGATAATAATAAAAAAAAAAAATATGCATGATGATGATTAAACAAAGAAATTTTCATTATCCTGTTGGAAACCTTTAACAATTTAGGCTTCGTTTAGCTTCTGTATGTACTTTTGTTTATGCACTTTTGTTTACCTTTTTTTCAGGTTGAGTTGACAAACATTCAGAAGAAATACTACCGAGCGATCCTGGAGCGTAACTTTGACTTCCTGGTGAAGGGAGCAACGTATGCCAATGTTCCGAGCTTAATGAACACCATGATGGAACTACGCAAGTGTTGTCTCCATCCCTATCTTCTTAATGGTGCGTTCCTACCATGTTAACTTCATTTAATACATCCCAACCTTAATGGTGTGCTGCTACCATGTTATGCTCACTTAATACATCCCAACCTTAATGGTGTGCTGCTACCATGTTATGCTCACTTAATACATCCCTACCTTAATGGTGCACTGCTACCATGTTATCCTCTCTTAACCCTTTCAGGGTCCGTGCCGTAGATCTACGGCTGTACATTGAGGGTCCAAACCGTAGATCTACGCCATGAGCTCAGCTCACTCTGATAAGCTGTGAGTGGTAAATTTGGGCCTAGATATGAGAGAATACATCAATGTGGTATGTGTGCACCACATAAAACAAATCCTGCAGCACACAGTGTATAATGAGAGAAAAAACTGAGAATGTGATTTTCGACTAAAACAGCGACTTTGCAATGTTTTTTCGTATGTTTTTTATAGTTGTATTTGCGATTTCTTGGTCTCATTTGATAGAATGGAAGACATATTACAGAAATAGAGATGATTTGGTTGGGTTTAGCACTGGAAATGGCTTGAAACTGAGCTCAAAGTAGTGGAAATGTTAAATTTTTGCCGATATTCAAGAGTAAACAAACGACCTCACACGTCTAATACACGTCAGCTGGTGGATCTAATATACATTCACAAATATGGTGATGATATTTATACAATTATTACAATATTGCATAACAGTAAATCTTCTGTTTTTTGGGTTTGAATAAAAATTCATTATGTGAATAAAAAATCAAAATGGAATTTATTTGTAAAGCCTCAAAACATAACTAATGAACAGAGGAAATGTTAGTTTAGTGCCAGGAATACCTACATTGTTTATTCTGGACCCTATTTTGAAATTGGAATATTTTGAACTTTGTGTTAAATTGGCCAAATTACCAATTTCCGATCACTTTATTTTGTAGTTGAAACAGTTGACTTGGCGATTTCTTGTGCTCAATCGATAGAATAGAAGTAATACTAGTGAAATAGCTAAGAATTTGGTAGACTGGAATAATGTAATTGGCCTAAAATGGGAGTAAAAGTCTGCAAAATCGCCGATTTGTAAATATCGCTGACACATCAAAATTCGCAAGAGCATAATTTAGTCAGTTTTCCATCAAATTTCGTACTTTTTGTTTTATTACCTTCAGAAAAAGATTCTCTACTATTTCATAAGAAAAAATAATTTTTTTTTTTGAAAATTCTTGGACCCTTGTGTGCACTTTGAAATTTGGCCTCTGGACCCTGAAAGGGTTAATACATCCCTACCTTAATTGTGCGCTGCTACCATGTTATCCTTTAACACACTTAATACACACTGCACATAACTGTATAGTCATATATTTGAAGAATCTCAGTGTGGCTGTAAGTGAAAATATTGTACAGTCAACTCTCTTATAAAGATCTTTTATATAGTACAAGTTTTATAGTCAACTCCATTTTGAAGATATATATAGTACAAGTTTTTGTAACCATAATTGAAAACATTCAAAACTGAATATCTGGAACATCATTAGATGCTCTTATTAAATTTCTATGGATTTTTTCAATTAAATTGTTGTAAATGGTTATAGAGGACATTGTGGATAAGTTTGAAGCACCAGAGATAAATGATAATGGGCAGCCTTTAATTGAACTATGTATAGAAAAAGGTTTGGTAATAAGTAATACATATTTTAAGAAAAAGAATATAAGTAAGTATAGAAGATATGTAATGGAAGGAGTTTATTGCATTAAGTATTGGTGGATAAAATATTGATGGGTAGACTTCAGGATGTGTGTGTTTATAGACGGGCAGCAGATAAATCAGATTATTTAGCTGTACAGGTCCACATCCCTTTATCCAAAATTCTGAAATTCGAAAAGTTCCGAAAACCAAAGTATTTTTGTTAAGTGTCTGTCATCATCTTGCTGGGTCACACCGCCACGTGGCGGCATTGAGAATCATTCTGAGAATTCAAAAAAGTCTGAAATTCGAAACAATACAGGCCTCAAGGGTTTCGGATAAAGGGATGTGCACCTGTAGCTACAGTTAGAGTGAGGGAGGAGGAAGTTAGGGTGAGATATAAGCAACTATTGGAAGAAAGGTGGGTTAGTGAGAGTATAGGTAGTGTGGTGGGTTGAAGAGGGTTGGGATAGTTCTAAAAATCGTGTTAAAATGTGGGGCAGAAATCTGTGGCTATAGGAGGGTGGATGCAGGAGGAAAGAGGAGTGGAATAACGAGGTAAAGAGTGTGATAAAAGAGAAAAAAAGTCACTTGTGAGAGGTTTTACAAAGCACAAATGATAAGAGAGAAGTGGTGAGAGAGTGCAAAAGGAAAGCAAATGATTGTGGGTGAGACACTGTCAACAAATTTTACTGAGAATAAGGAAAAGTTTTGGAGTGAGATAAATAGGTTAAGAATACCTTGGGAACAAATAGATTTAATAGTTAACAACAGAATAGGGAAGTTAGTAGAAGGGAAGATGGCAAGAGCATTTTGAGGAACTGTTAAATGTTGATGTAGAGAGGGAGGCAGTGATTACTTGCATTTGACCTGGGAGATGATGTAGAGAGGGAGACAGTGATTACTTGCATTTGGCCCGGGAGATGATGTAGAGAGGGAGGCAGTGATTACTTCCATTTGGCCCGGGAGATGATGTAGAGAGGGAGGCAGTGATTACTTCCATTTGGCCCGGGAGATGATGTAGAGAGGGAGGCAGTGATTACTTGCATTTGGCCCGGGAGATGATGTAGAGAGGGAGGCAGTGATTACTTGCATTTGGCCCGGGAGATGATGTAGAGAGGGAGGCAGTGATTACTTGCATTTGGCCCAGGAGATATAACATCTTGTATGAGTGACCGAGCCAGATGTGAGGGGGGGAGGGGGGTGTAAGGCTGTGGGTAGAGTGTAAGGTGGTAAAGTAGCTGGAACTGATGGGATCATGACAGAAATGTTAAAAGCAGGTGGGGATATAGTGTTGGAGTGGTTGGTACTTTTGTTCAATGTATGAAAGGGAAAGGTACCTAGGGACTGGCAGAGAGCATGTATAGTTCCTTTATATAAAGGTAAAGAGAACAGAAGTGTAAAAATTATAGGGGAATAAGTCTTGTGAGTATACGGGGTAAAGTATATTATGGTACAGTTATTATTGAAAGAATTACAAGTAAGACAGAGAACAGGACTGTAGATGAACAAGGAAGCTTTATAATGGGAAGGGGATGTGTAGACCAAGTGTTCACATTGAACCATATAAGTGAACAATATTTAGATTAAAGGTTGGGAAGTTTTTGTTTCTTTTATGGATTTAGAAAAGGCTTATGACAGGGTGGATAGAGGAGCAATGTGGCAGATGTTGCAGGTGTATGGTATAGGTGGTAAGTTAATAAATGATGTAGCTTTTATAAGGATAGTGAGGCTCAGGTGTACCTGGAGGTTGCCTGGAGGTTATTCCGGGGATCAACGCCCCCGCGGCCCGGTCCATGACCAGGCCGAGGGAGAGGAAGAGGGAGATTACTTCCCAGTAAAAGTATGTCTTAAGACAGGGTTATGTAATGTCACCATGGTTGTTTAACATGTTTATAGATGGGGTTGTACAAGAAGTAAATTCTAGGGTGTTGGGGAGAGGGGTGGGACTATATTATGGGGAATTAAATACAAAATGGGAATTGACAGTTATTTTTGTTTTTGGGAGCTTTGTAAGAGAACTGACTGTATAGTGGAGCTTTATAAGAGAAATGAATGTGTGGAAAATTATAGGTGAATTTTTAGCCAATTTCTTTGGACCATTTTGGATCTGTGTATATTGAAAATTTTGACCACCGGCACTGTCAGGAGCGGAGGATGCCATCCAGCAGGACTACCGTGACTCCAGTCCAGCCAACACCTCTGACCCAGACACTTACTACAATGCTCTGATCCAGTCTTCCGGCAAGATGGTCCTGGTGGACAAACTCTTACCTAAACTGAAGGACAATGGTCACAGAGTTCTCATTTTCTCTCAGATGGTCAAACTTCTTGATATCCTTGAAGATTATCTCATATTTAGGAAGTAAGTTCAACAACTCAAATAAATCTTTATAGCATTTAGTGTATATATAATATGTAGTATATATCATCTTTAATACTATGTGTATATCCTGTATAATATACATATGTAGTACTGTGTACATATCATAAATATCTTAGCTTTAGAAAGTAAGTTCAGTGTCAAGGACCATCATAAAGTTAGAAAGTATGGTCAATATCAAAAGGTTCTGTAAATTTAGAAAATAGGTTGTTATTTTTTAATTAGAAAGTGTTGGTCTACCAGCAAGGTAATGACCTGCTGTCAGGTGTTGGTCTACCAGCAAGGTAATGACCTGCTGTCAGGTGTTGGTCTACTAGCAAAGTAGTGACCTGCTGTCAGGTGTTGGTCTACTAGCAAAGTAGTGACCTGCTGTCAGGTGTTGGTCTACCAGCAAGGTAATGACCTGCTGTCAGGTGTTGGTCTACCAGCAAGGTAATGACCTGCTGTCAGGTGTTGGTCTGCCAGCAAGATAGTAACCTGCTGTCAGGTGTTGGTTTGCCAGCAAGGTAGTGACCTGCTGTCAGGTGTTGGTCTGCAAGCAAGGTAATGACCTGCTGTCAGGTGTTGGTCTGCCAGCAAGATAGTAACCTGCTGTCAGGTGTTGGTTTGCCAGCAAGGTAGTGACCTGCTGTCAGGTGTTGGTACTGTATAGTATACTGACCAGTTACTGTACTGACCCCATCACTGCACCGACCCCGTCACTGCACCGACCCCGTCACTGCACCGACCCCGTCACTGTACTGACCCCATGGGAGTAGAGCACTCCAGGATGATTTGAATAGACTGATGCAGTGGTTGGAGAAGTGGCAGATGCAGTTTAATATAGACAATTGCAAAGTTCTAAACGTTGGACAGGAAAATAACCATGCCACATATAAACTAAATAATGTAGATCTTAATATTATGGATTGCAAAAAGGATTTAGGAGTTCTGGTTAGCAGTAATCTAAAACCAAGACAACAGTGCATTAGTGTTCACAATAAAGCTAGCAGAATCCTTGGCTTCATAGCAAGAAGTATAAATAATTGAAGTCCTCAGGTTGTTCTTCAAGTCTATATCTTTGGTTAGGCCTCATTACAGAATGGATATAAAGGAGGATGACAAAGTTGATCCCATGTATCAGAAATCTTCACTATGAGGATAGACTGAGGATCCTGAATCTGCACTCTCTGGAGACATATAATTAGGGGGAGGATATTATTGAGGTGTATAAATGGAAAACAAGAATAAATAAAGGGGATGTAAATACAGTGGACCCCCGCTTAACGATATTTTTTCATTCCAGAAGTATGTTCAGGTGCCAGTACTGACCGAATTTGTTCCCATAAGGAATATTGTGAAGTAGATTAGTCCATTTCAGACCCCCAAACATACACGTACAAACGCACTTATATAAATACACTTACATAATTGGTCACATTAGGAGGTGATCGTAGTGTGCTGAAAATATCTAACATAGACAGGACTCACAGCAATGGCTTTGGAAAAATTCCGATTCAAGCTGGATATAGGAAAGCACTGGTTTGGTAATAGAGTTGTGGATGAGTGGAACAAACTCACGAGTACCATCGTAGACGCTAAGACATTGTGTAGTTTTAAAAATAGGTTGGATAAATACATGAGTGGGTGTGGGTGGGTGGGTGTGAGTTGGATCTGACTAGCTTGTGCTACTAGGTCGGATGCAGTGCTCCTCCCTTAAGTGACTTGTCTGACCTCACTAGGTCAAGGCATTGGCTTAAGCTAGTGGGAGAATTGGACCTGCCTCGCATAGGCCAGTAGGCCTGTTGCAGTGTTCCTTATTATGTTCTTATTACTTTGTCATTGGGTAAACAGTGGTTTAATAAAATATCTCTGCCATCTAGGTACCCCTACGAACGATTAGACGGCCGCATCCGCGGCAACATGCGCCAGGCGGCTATTGACCGCTTCTGCAAGCCCGACTCTGACCGCTTCGTCTTCCTGCTGTGTACCAAGGCCGGTGGTTTGGGCATCAACCTGACAGCAGCCGACACAGTCATAATCTATGACAGTGACTGGAACCCCCAGAATGACTTGCAGGCACAGGCGCGCTGCCACCGCATTGGCCAGTCGAAGAGCGTCAAAATTTACCGACTGGTGTGCAGGAACACCTATGAGAGGGAGATGTTCGACAAGGCGTCGAGGAAGCTGGGCCTGGATAAAGCAGTGTTACAGTCTATGAACAGCGAAGGCGGCAAGAATGGTGCTGCCGGCGGCAACTCTCTGGGACTCTCTAAAGCTGACATAGAGGAACTCTTAAAGAAAGGTGAGCAACTCTTGATCCCAGAAGGTGGACCAGACCTGATGTTCAATCATCCCCCAGCCACTGTACCCACCTGTTGTGGTTGAGTCTCAGTTCCTGGCCTTTATGGTTTTGTGTTTCAGGAAGTGGAGTGGCCTTGATGAAGGAAGAGAGGCAGACTCAATTTATATTTTTAAGAGCAAGTATGACAGGGATCTGAAGGCTGAGAGGTGGGGCCACGAGCTGAGATTCAACACACAGGTTAATATACATGAATATTGTACTTATTGCCTTTATTGAATACTGTCACCCACCGTGGTAGACAGTGTCACCATCATGGTACAGTGTCACCCATCATGGTAGTGTCACCTACCATGGTAGACTGTCCCCATCACTCAGTTTTCCACAAGTCTCAGTTAATACTTTGTAATAACTTCTGGTCCCTGTGAGTGGTTCTTGATGCCTGTGAGTTGTTTTTGATGCCTTGCCCAGGACCAGTAACAACTTGGTTGATCAAGCTGACAGCAGACACAGGTGGTCCAAGACCAGGCTACAGGTAGACTAACAGCTCATCAGAGACATGGTATGCATCAACTTTGTTTCAGGTGCGTATGGTGCATTGATGGATGAGGATGGTGATGGTGGGGACTTCTGCGAGGAGGATATCAACCAGATATTGTCTCGGCGAACGACTGTCATTCAGCATGAAAGTGAGAAGGGTTCCTCCTTCTCCAAAGCTTCTTTCTCTGCCTCCAACAACCGTTCAGATATTGAGATTGATGACCCTGACTTCTGGAAGAAGTGGGCCAAGCGAGCGGAAATTGACACAGAAGTGGGAGACAGACTTCGCAAGGTACGCTTCTGTGTAAACCTCTGCTTACATCCTGTATGAGAAAGTTTGAGTCCTGGAGGTGGGAAGTACAGTGGCTGCACTCTAAACAAGGGGTTTGGGGTATTTGCTGTTTAGAGTGACATCTAAACTGTCATATCTGTGTACTTCTGGTGAGACAGCAATAGTGTGAATGATGGCGACAATGTTTCTTTCTCGGGTCATTCTGCCTCAGTGGGAGACAGCCAGTGTGTTTATAAAATAATAGAGTGGATAATGTTTTTGATGATGACCTGCCATGCTAATACTGAGGAATCCAGTCGTTGTTGTCTGGCAACCAGTGAGTTCAAATTTAGCTTATCTGAAACCTTTATAACATTTTTTATTATTATTATTCTAAGTAGTCTGGTAAAAGTTTTGACTGCCAAATTTTCTTTTTTCTGCCATACAGAAGACGTTGATCGTTGAAGAGCCGAGGAGGAGATCTCAGATCCGCAGGTACGGCCACGATGAGTCTGTCTTGGACTGCAGTGACCTGGAGTCCTCGGCCAGTGACTCTGGCCAAGAGAGGGATTTAGAGCCGGAAATGGTCATAGAAGCGAATAGTAGATCTCGGGGCCGGGGTCGAGGCCGGGGCCGCAACAGAGGACGAGGAGGTAGAGGTGCACGTAACACGAGGGCGTCCCGCTGGGTAGTAGAGGAGGAGCAACTGGACCCGGATGTCGTCAGGTATGGCCAGTGGCTACGCTCAGAATGCTTCAAAGTGGAGAAGGGCTTGTTGATCTATGGCTGGGGACGATGGAAGGAGATCCTTGCCCACGGTGACTTCCGTCCAGCCTGGAAAGAAGTGGATGTCCAGGATTGTGCTCGCATGATCCTTCTCTTCTGCATTCGCTATTACCGTGGTGATGACAAAATTAAGGGCTTCATATTCGATCTCATTTCTCCCACGTCGGACGGCAAGACTCGCATCCACCACAACCACATCGGCCTCTCCGCTCCAGTGCCACGAGGCAGGAAGGGCAAGAAGAAGATAAGAGAAGCCAAGCTGGTCGCTTCTCACATGGAAGGTGCAGACTGGGCTAAGGAGGAGAAGTATGACACAGAGGTTTACCTAGATCAGGGATACTCGCGACACCTGACACGACACTCCAACAAGGTCCTCCTCAGAGTACGTCTTCTCTTCTACATCAAGCAGGAGATCATTGGTGATCATTATCTGCAGGTCAGTGTTATATTGAGGTCTGTCCCTTATACATACACACTCTGATGCTCTCAAAAAATAAGAAAATTTGGCTCTAGAAAAATTATTGGATAAGAGGCAAAAAATGTTTTGTGGGTGTGTATGGATGAAGTTTTAAGGGGTGGGAGCTTGAACATCCAGCAGGCAAGTTGTGTGTGAGATTTTAGATCAGAGTGAGTGGAGATGAGTGGGTTTGTATGGGTTTGACATGCTGATGTAGTGCTGGCTACAGACATGTAAACAGTTATTGGAATGGCTGTACCAGTAACCTGGTCCCACACCAGACCAGACCTGGTTGACCATATGATCAACCAGGCTCTTGGTACTGGCTGCATTCAGTGCAACAGGTACCACAGCTCAGCTGTTGACTAACTAATTTGAAGAACTTGTGTTATTCCTTCTTAGAGACAACCAGGGTTGTCTTGGTGTTATATTGAAGAACTTGTTGCTCTTTCTTCAAGACAACTCCGGCTGTCTTGGTGTTTGTTATATATTTATTTATTTATTTATTTATTTAAAAATTTGAGCACACATACAGAGGTACAAAAAATACAGATAAGAGCAGCATGCCAAAGCCACTTATACTATGCATAGCATTACGGGCTGGCTTAAAATTAACTTAAGATGAACTAAGCAATGATGACATCAGTGATAAAACTTTAATGTATACAGATTACTATAAAGCACAAGTGAGTATTACAAAGACAGGTCATATGGTTGTATGCATTGTTGTACATTCAGTAGAATGGAGTATTCTGTTAGGTAGTGTATTTAAAAAATAATAAAGTTAGATTGGGTTTTAGGTTTAACATTTATGTGATATAATTGTGAGAAACATTTAAGATATAAAGTTTTTATAAAGTTTTTCTGAGGAAGGGTTGTTGAGGTGGTTCAGACATGTAGAGAGAATGGAGCGAAACAGAATGACTTCAAGAGTGTATCAGTCTGTAGTGGAAGGAAGGCGGGGTAGGGGTCGGCCTAGGAAGGGTTGGCGGGAGGGGGTAAAGGAGGTTTTGTGTGCGAGGGGCTTGGACTTCCAGCAGGCATGCGTGAGCGTGTTTGATAGGAGTGAATGGAGACAAATGGTTTTTAATACTTGACGTGCTGTTGGAGTGTGAGCAAAGTAACATTTATGAAGGGATTCAGGGAAACCGGCAGGCCGGACTTGAGTCCTGGAGATGGGAAGTACAGTGCCTGCACTCTGAAGGAGGGGTGTTAATGTTGCAGTTTAAAAACTGTAGTGTAAAGCACCCTTCTGGCAAGACAGTGATGGAGTGAATGATGGTGAAAGCTTTTCTTTTTCGGGCCACCCTGCCTTGGTGGGAATCGGCCAGTGTGATAATAATAAAAAATAATAATAATTTAAGATATACAATTTATAAGGTTCAGTTATTCAGTATTTATTTGGTTTTGGGTGAGTAAGTGATCTTTGAGAAGAGACTTTAATTTATAAACAGGTAGTGTTCTTTTATATTTACAGGTAATGATTCCAGATTTGGGGCCTTTTATGTCCCAAGGGTTTTTTTGCATAGTGTGAGTGGACACGAGGAATATCAAAGAGTGATCTGTGCCTTGTGTTATGGTCATGTGTTCTGTTGAGGTTGGCAAGGAGATGTTTGAGGGGAGGGTTAATATCAGAGTTAAGTGTTTTATGTATGTAATAGGTGCAGTAAAAGTATGAATGTTTTGTATGGTGAATAGGTTTAGTGTATTGAATATTGGTGGAGTGTTGCTGCCTATAGTGAGAATTTGTTATCATTCTAACTGCAGCCTTTTGTTGGGTAATTTAGTGGTCTGAGATGGTTACTTGTTGTTGACCCCATGCACAAATTCCATAGGTGAGATAGGTAAATAAGAGAGTGATATAGGGCCAGGAGGGCTGACTGTGGAGCATAGTACCGTATCTTCGATAGTATGCCTACGTTTGGGAAATTTTCTTAGAAATTTGTTGTATATGTGTATGAAATTTGAGTCATTATCAAGGTGGATTCCTAAAAATTTTTTCCCCTTTTTAGCTTTGTGATAGGTGATCCGTTTATCATTATGTTAAGAGGGACATCTGTAGCTCTGTTACCAAACTGAATGAAGTAGGTTTTGTCAATGTTTAGTGTAAGTTTGTTAGTCCTCATCCAGGTAGATATTTTCTGTAATTCGGTTTTTTACAGTATTTGGGTAGCGTGACTGGGCTCGGGTGGGGGAAGACGTATGTAGTGTCATCTGCAAATAGTGTGGGTTTTTAGTAATTGCGAAGCATTTGGTAGGTCATTTATGTATGGAAAAGAGAAGAGGGCCAAGGACACTTCCCTGTGGGACACCAACTGTAAATTTGGGTTTTGGGAGAAGAGTTTGCCCCATTTGCATACACATATTGGTTCTGTTGCTGAGGTATGACTTGAGGTGTTGAGGGAGTGCCCTCTTATACCATAGTGTGACAATTTTACGTGGAGCAAGTCATGGTTAACTGTATCAAAAGCTTTACGAAGTCAATGAAGATCCCCAGTGGGATTCCTTTTTTTTCTATTGCAGTGATATTGTTCTAGCATGTGTATAATAGCATCATTAGTATTTTATTTGGCCTGAATCCAAATTGGCAGGGGTTGAGTATGTTTTGGGGGATAAGGTAGGAGTAGATTTGTTTATGAATTAATTTTTCGAAGATTTTTGAGAGAGGGTGTAAGTTGGATATTGGCCTATAGTTATTCAACTCTGTTTGGTCTCCTCCTTTGTGGATCGGGTGACCCTTGCTATTTTGAGTACTGTAGGGAAGGTGGAGGATTCAATGGATTTGTTAAAGAGTGTTGCAATGATTGGTGATAGCACTTCTGACACTTTTTTGTATATAAAGGGTGGTAAGGTATTTAAATCTCCTGCCTTGTTTTTTAGCGTGTTGATAATAAGGGAGACTTCGTATGGGTTAGTCGGAGCTAGGAACAGTGTGTTCGGGTAGTTGCCAGTGAGGTAGTCATTTGGTGGGGTATCTGAGCTTGGGATTTTATTGGCAAGGTTTTGTCCTATAGTGGAGAAGAAATCATTGAGTCTGTTTGCTGTTTCTGTTGGTGGGAGTTGGGGTTCATCTGATTTTGCTAATTTTATTTCGCTATTTCGTGATATCTTTTTTGTTCCTAGAATTTCTGATAGGTTTTCCAGGTCTTTTTTAATCACCTCGTAAGTTGGATAATCTGTTCTCATAATACAATTTTTTTGCCCTTCTTATCAGGCTGGTTAGGATTGACGAGTAACGTTTTGTTTGGTCTCTGGTTATGTGACCCATTCTGTACTGTTTTTCATATTGGTGTTTTGTATTTATGGATTTGAGAATGCTGGGTGTTAACCAGGGACTGTTCAGTCTCTTAGCTGTCATCTGTTTAGTTTTTTTAGGGCAGTGCTTGTTATAGAGGTATTGGGTCTTTTTTAGAAAATTATTAATACATTCGTCAATATCTGTATAGATTTCTAGCTCAGTGTGCCAGTCAATGTTTGCTACTGCTGTTGTGAAGTTATTAATGGCTGCCTCATTGTGAAGTCTGAAGGTGACTTTAGTAGTGTCTTGGGGTAATTTACCAAGAGTTGTTATGAGAAAAGTAGGGTAGTGGTCTGTGGTATTATCTGTAATTATGCCTGATTTTAAAGGGGATATGGTGTTGGTCCAGATGTGGTCAAGTAGGGAAACACTAGTCTCTGTAACTCTTGTAGGTTTTGTTACTGTTGGTAGCAACATACAGTTACTCATTGTGTTTGTGAATTCAGTAACGTGTGGGTCCTGGTCTTGCAGGAGATTTATATTGAAGTCACCTGAGAGTAGTAAGTGATCTTTGTTCATGCGTGCATCAGTTATCATACTTTCCTAGGTTTTGACTAAATTGGCTAATGTTTGACTGTGGAACTCTGTAAATGTTTATCAATGTGAGAGGTTTTTGTAGGTATTTGGATTTGAATTTAGCTATTATATATTCCCCATGTTCATCCCTTGTGCAAGTATTAGTGATACATTCTAGTTGGTCTGAGTAGTATATGGCTGTGCCACCCCCTTGTTGGTCTGGCCTACAGTTGTGTATGGCTGTGTAACCAGGAATGGCATAGACATCTGTACTATCAGGCTTTAGCCAGGTTTCAGTTAGTGTAATGATGGACATATTGGCATGTAAGGAATTTAGTAATGCTAGGAGGTCATCGTAATGCTTGCTTAAAGATCTGATATTGTAGTTAAAGATAGTTATGTTGATCGCCTTGTATTGCTTTCTCTCAATGTACCCTGAACACCTCTGCTTTACACCTCTGGTGAGACTCTTGCATTCATGAGGAATATTTTGTCTGCAGATTAATAACTAAACCTTCCAGAATGTTCCTTTTGTGTAATATTTCTCACTAGAGTATATCTGGAGAGGGTTTTGGGGGTCAACGCCCCCGCGGCTCGGTCTGAGACCAGGCCTTGTGGTGGATCAGTATTTGACAAAGTGGTACCTAAGACGTAGTGTTATCCTCGCAAGCACTGTTGTTATCTTGGAAATCAATGAGAGAATTTTCATTGCTTTTGTACTGTATCACAATTACTCGAGTTTTTTACACAGGGTTTGACAAGGTTAAGGATCCCTAGCTTCATTGACAAGCTATTTACAGGTTAAGGATTCCTAGCTTTATTGGCAAGCTAAGAGCTGTTACCTACATCAGCTCATTTGAAAGCATTTTTATTGTTATGAGACATACAAGTAGGGAACAGGATGAAGTTGGAGCCATCTGTGGGCCAGCATTTTCATTTGATCAACTGACTTTATCTCGTTGACATCATTATGCTGTACAAATGTGTTCCATACTTGAGTCATCCTGAGTATATAGGATCTCAGATGGAGTGAAGTTCTGGAGAAGGGTACAGCCAGAGTGAAGTTGCTGCTTTCTGCCCGTCTTGTGGCATAAAAGCTTGTTTCACGCTGTCCTCGAAGTGGATCCAAGTGTGGTACTTTGACAATATTGGCCTTGTACATAAC